GTAGTATACCTTAATAATATCCTTATATACTTAGAAACGCTAAGCGAATATAAAATACATGTGCGAAAGGTACTTAAAAAACTTAGGGAATATAACCTTATAGTAAACCCGGATAAGTGCGAGTTCTATAGGCAGAGGGTCGGATTCCTAGGATACGTTATTAGTCCAGGACAGATTAAGATAGAAGAAGGCAAAGTGTTCTCTATTTAGGAATAGCCAGAACCCGTAAATTTAAAGGAACTATAGTTGTTTTTAGGGTTAGCTAATTACTATAAACAGTTTATTAAAGGCTACTTAAAAATTATAGAGCTACTAATAGGACTTACTAGAAAGGATATTAAGTATAGATAGACCCTAAACGCGTAGAGCGCATTTAATAAACTAAAAGCGCGGTTTACTTCGAAACTAGTATTAGCAATTTTTAATCTATAGAAACCAGTTACTATTAAAAGTAATGCGTTGGATAAAGTATTAAAAGCAATACTTAACTAACTAAACAAATAAGGGAAGTTATATTCTATAGCGTTCTACTTATAAAAGCTAAGCCTAGCTAAGCTAAACTATAACGTCTATAATAAGGAACTGCTAGCTATAGTAGAAGTATTTAGTTAGTAGAGAATTTACCTTAAAAGAGCGGTATATATAATATAGGTGTATATAAACTATAAGAATCTAATATACTTTACTATAACTAAGGAGTTAAATAGAAAATAAGTAAAATAGTCGGAAAAACTAGAAACCTTTAATTTTAGGATTATATACCGGAAAGGATCTAAAAACGCTCGTACAGACGCACTTAGCAGAAGGCCGGACTATATAAAAGGAGCCGAGAAAGCCAGATAATCTATACTCCGGGAAAAAAGCCTAGGAACCCTTAAATTCAACTATATATAAGCAGCAGCTGCTTATAGGTCTAAGAATAATAAATAGTACAGATAAATTAAGGCAGCATAGAAGGTTAATTAAAAAAGCCGGGATTTAGCGGGTTATAACTAGCAGAGCTTGCGCCCAGAACCTATAAACTAGGAACGCGGAGAAATCCAGGACGGTATTATTACCTTACAGGACAAGATATTTATACCTAAAACCTTATAAAAAGAGCTTGTTAAGGAATTCTATAGTATACTAGTGCACGGGCACTAGGGAGTGGAAAAAACACGGGAAAGAATTGCAAGAACATTCTATTTCCCCGGACTCCGGAAAGTAACGGAGAAAATTGTATACAAATGCAAATATATAAAGAATAAATCGGCATAACATACACTATATAGACTAATAAAGAGTTCCTCTACACCGGAAAAAGCATAGAAATCTATTATATAGGACTTTATAGTTAAGCTACTATAGTTTACTAAACCTATAACAGGTATAAAGTACAACGCAATATTAGTAGTTACGGATTAACTAACTAAATACGTATACTTTATTCCTTACTAAGAAGTATTAACGGCAGAGGATCTGGCCTATACTTTTTTAAAGTATATTATTAGCAACTATAGGCTACCCTAGGAGATAATTTCAGACTAAGACAAGCTCTTTATATTAAAATTCTGGCAGACCCTTACTATATAACTAGGAATAAAGCATAAGCTTTCCACGGCGTTTTACTCTTAGACGGACGGATAAACGGAAAGGCTTAATTAGACTTTAGAATAGTACCTACAATACTATATAAATTACAGGTAGGATAATTAAGTATTACTACTACTAATAGCCCAGTTCGCCTATAATAGCGCATTTATAGAGATAATAAAGGTATTACCCTTTTTTATAAACTATAGTTTCGATCTAGAGGTGTATTAAAAACCCTAACTTAATAGTATAAGGGCCTAGAGGGCACTACTATTAGTTAAAAATATTAGAGAACTATAGAGGCAGCTCTTAATAGATATCTAATTCCTAATACTAAGGTTAGCAAGATATTACAACTAATACCGGAGTATTGCACCAACTTTTAAAAGGGGGGATAGAGTCTACCTACTCCGAAAAAATATTAAAATAAAATAACTAAGCACAAAGTTAGACTATATTAAGATTAAACTATTTAAAATACAGGATATTATTAGCCTAGTAAACTATAAGCTTAGGCTACCTAATAGGATAAAAATACACCCGGTCTTCCACGTATTGCTACTGGAACCCGCACCACCTAACGCTAAGCTGGAAAACAATATTAAGGTCGATAATAATAATAAATATAAGGTTAAGTAAATCCTAAATTCCCGATAACACGGTTAGTAAAAGGAGTACCTAATCTAGTAGAAAGGATACGGCACCTTTAAGAATATATAGGAACCGGTTAAGAGTTTAGTAAACTATTAGGAACTCCTGCGGCAGTTTCACCGCCAGAATCCGGAATAGCCTAGAAAAACAGCAACAGCGCACCGTCTAACCAGGAAAAATTAAAGGAACCCGGAGAAGGAATACTACTGCTATATAATTAGAATACATAGTAATAGAATAGATAGTTAGCAGTGCCCAGCACACCTAGAAAAGAAAAGGAATACCTAATAGTTCCTAAGGTAGAAGGCAAGCCCTCCTGCTTAGCACGCTCTTATTCTTTCTACTTAGCCTCTTTCTAATTCTCCTCTTCTAACTCCTTAAGAGTACAGAACCCACGTTAAAGTATATTAGCTTTTTAACGCTTAAGCAGGTCCTCCTGCTTCTCTAAACGCTTTACCTTTACTAATACAGCGCGCATAGCCTTAGACTAAAGTTGCACTGCTTCGCAGGTAGCAGACTTCTTAGCGCGAAGCTTTATATAAGTCTAATCTACCCGAGCAACTAAGGGAAGTAAGCCAGGAGAACCCCAGAACTAGAATATACCTATAATCCGCCGAAGTAATACTACTAGTATTATATTTCGATCGACCTTATTAAATATATTCCCTATAATAACCAGAGGCCGAAGGAAGCACCTTACAGTCTAAGAACCGCTTATAGCAGAAGGAATAAGAAACTATAGGAATACTAGAAAAAGCAATACAGGCACTAAAAATAGCACGTTGTTTAACCTTATTAGATATTATAGAAGAAATAGAACAGCATAATAACGGCCTAGCAGATAGGGCATCGCCAGCTATTTATCCGAGACCCTACTATAGAATTACTTTCGGGCCGAAAGCTTTAAAAGGGGAAGCGAGTGTTACAACCTGTAATATAAACCACTTAAGCGCAGAGGTACTTACAGAAATAAGTAAGTAGATAAAACTAATTATAGAGAACTAGGTTATAGAACTAAAAGAGTTGCGTGTAGGACGTATAGGGATCCTAGATTCCCCTATAGACTGCTAGTAGATAGGAATAATCTAAGAATAGGAATTACGGGACGAGAGGATTATATAATAGATCGGTTAGATTATACAGGGTTAGTAGGATCTAGATTGCAAGGACTACAGGCGATCTCTATAATCTATAGATTTCTTAGGACGGAGCTTTTATATAAAGGGACGCTTTTTTATATAAATAGAAACCTTATATTTAACTTAAGACTTTAATACTACCTATTAGAAGTAACCACCCCGTCTTAGACCTTAATTAATTATTGCCTTACCTTTTAAAGACTATTGCACCCCGACAACAACTTACCTATACCCTGCCTTAGTGTAAGACACTTAGAAGGTATAGAAGAGACGACCCGTTATAATTATATCCTTATTTACTAAGTCTAGTAGTTTAGTAATAGTAAAAACTAGGTTTTTAATACCTTTAGGGTTATAGTAGTTCTATATATTGTTTTGTATAGTAAAATCCTTAATAGAATTAATTTAATTAGTTTAATTATTGCGTGTGTTAAGTATTAGAAGGTTATAATCTTTAATTAATATTATCGCGATAATTCCTGCAAAATCCGGTGGCAGGAATAGAGCTTTACTGCAAGTTAAGTATAGAGCTTAGGCGTAGTAAGTTGCCGAAATATATAACGGATTGCCGTAAATTTAAGATTAACTGTTGTATTTAATCTTAATTATTTAAAGGCCTTAACTTAGTCGATTTCTAAGTCCTTATCTTTAAATATTAAGGTTATAATATTGCTTTTTCTATAACCCCGCTTTTTATAGAATCGGCCGAGGATTATTACCGCTTTATAAGAACTGCTCTATTAAAAGGAAAATTATCTGATTTATTTGTTACTTATAGTGCTGTATAGCAGGAGAAGAGCTACCGGGCTTATAACTGTCGCATTTAGGTGTATATAGGATAAAGCGGGATTGGAAATAATATTAAGCAGCAGAGTATAATTAATTATATATATATAGTCTCTTCTATTAGTCGGGTTACCCTGCCCGACATTCTATATAGCTTTAATAGCAAGCTTATTAATACAGTTCTTACCTTAGGCCTCTATAGCTAATACTTTAGTCTGCGATATTATACTATACTCTATACTAAACAAATTAAAATAAAGTATAGTATTCTTCTAGAAACTTTAACAGTTACGTGTCCGCTATTATTAGCGTCCGCGTCTATTATTAGTATTATAGCCTCTTATTATTATAGCTACCCGCTACTTATTTACTATTACTATAATCGCTAATATAGACCGAGCTAGCTATATACTAGCGCAAGCCCTTCTAGACGTGCCTAGAATATACGCTACTTTTATAAAATAGGGCGATGTTCCTTTCTCTACGCTCTATTATTATAATAAGGGATAACGCTTAATAGAGGAAAAGGCCTAAAGCTAGCAATACTTAACCCTAGAAAAAGAGAAAGCTGTTATTAAATTCTTATTACTAATATCTAATCTTAAGCAACTAGTGCGCATAAAGTTTATACCTTTACTAGCCTTTAGTATCGCCCGCTACTAATTAATAAATAAACTAATTAAGCCTCTAGGTAAGAACTAGGCTCGGGCCTTTAAGAAGCGCTATCTAGAGCTTAAAGCTAGAACTGTTAGGGCGATTAACTGGAAACGATATAGGAATAATATATATAATAAGGTTATAGAGCGGTTTAAAGTAATTGGAAAAATGCTATAGAATCTAGCTATTCTACTGGAAAACGTCTATAATATAGATAAAACAGGAGTTATACTAAGTATACTTAGTTCGGTTAAAGTCCTTATAGGTAAGGATAACCTGCAAGACTATAGAGGCGCGGGTGTTAAGCGGATAATAGTAACTGCTGTTAAGTGTATTAGTAGTAACAGCAGGGCGCTGCTCCCCCTTATAATCTAGCCAGCTTTAACCCACCGAAGCAACTAGACAACGTACTTAACCCCTAGATAGTATTACGTAACAATATTGCCTTTTATAAACCCTTAAAAGCACCTTAGTTATTACCCCCCCTTTTTTTACGTATTACCTCCCTTTTCTCTGCATATTACCCCCCCTATATTAGGCCTAGCTCCGGCCCGTATAAATATTGTTCTACTAATTAAACTTACCTGCTTACCTCTGTGTCGACTGCGTAAAATAGAGAGTATATATTATAAAACAGAAAGGCTGTATTATAGGCTGTATTATCTAGGCTAATAGGAGTCTATTCGCTCTATCTACTCTAGCTACTCTACTCTAGCTACTCTATTCTAGCTACTCTACTAGCGGAAAGCGCCTAGATGGCTACTACTGTCTAATTGCTGGCTAAAAGAAACGCCAACTACACCTGTATACTAAGGCCTTACAGCTATTACTTTACTATAAACAGCCTCCTCCTTAGGCGTGGACATAGGGGCATTCTTAGGGGCTGGTTGGCTGTCGGGGACTAAGGAAATAGAGCTCTGAGTAGCTGTTAGAGTGCCTGCTTGTCCGGCGGAGCGATCTGGCGCTGTAGTTGTGAACTGTACAGGATTGTTGAGCACTATAATGGTCTGCTCGACCGCCGGCGTGCCTGTAGAGACACCTGCCATAGTAATTTGGGTGGCCTGTGTCGCAATCTGCATCGATTGAGTTGGTTCCTGTCCACCTACAACACTATCTGCTCGCTCTGCACGAGCAGTAGTTTTATGAGCTCGCCGGAGATGCGACGTTCCTCCACGTGATCCTGGCCCTCCACCACGCCGTCGTGCTCGCTGCGCCGGAGCTTGTTGATCAACAATTTCGAATTGAGATGGATCACGTCGAGTTGCATCAGCAGGTGCACGAGCACGGCCACGGCCACGGCCACGGGCACGGGTTGATTGACGAGGTGCAGCAGGGCCCGTTGGCCTGCCTTTACGACGCTGTACAATTGCCGGAGCCTCGATGAGGAGGAGAGGATCGATAGGAAGGTTTACCTTGTTTGGAACGGGACGATTGAACCACTAGTGCTGATAAACATCCTCCAGGACAACAGTATACGTAGATGTCGCTGTAGCATGCAGTTTTCGGTGTATTTCGTGGCAGCAAGGCATGCCGTATGTCCCCCTGAATGTTCCATTGCAAATAGGATTAAAATTGTCCTTCTTAGCCTTCTTAACTTAGGCAGCAAGTAGCCTCAGGCCCTGCTTAGTAACCTGCCGAAGAACCCTAGCAAACTTAGGAATCCTAACCTTATGCTAAGGAGCTCTACGCTGCCAGCTAAGCTAATTCTTTCTTTTAACACCTTAGCAGTAAATATATTAAAATAGCAAGGTAACTATATTATAAAGGTTGCCTGTTAAAATCTAAAGATAGGACTTAATACTACTATTTAAGCCCTTTAGCTATAAGGTTATAGTATTACTAAAGTGCGGCAGAAGGCCTATATAGTATATTATAATCTGCTATTAAAAAGGCTACTACTTTTTAGTAAGGTAGTTAACCAGGGCTTTCTTATATTTATATATATAATCCGATTAAATCTTATTCTAAGCGGCTATAAACTTAGCCTCTATAGGTTTTAATAGGCAGAAGTTAAGCTTATTAATAAACCTCTTCTAATCTTTCTAAATAATATTAATCTTAGCTACTATTAGCACTTAAAAGGTATATACTAGGTCCTCTAAATCTATTATATCTGCTAATACTTACTTTTTATTCTTTTAAATAGTAACAGCCTTACTAGCAATATTCTTCTGCATATACTACTTATATAGAATCTAAGGAATAAAAGAAAAGAACTTAGCTAGTATATTTTTAAGTGCGAGCTTTTTATCTATAATAAAAACGCCTAGTAAAATACCTAGGCGCTAGTATACTAGGTAAAGCTCCCGCACAGTAAAAATATAGTCCTCTTTTTCCTCTTCTAGAAGAAAATAATAGCCTAGCTTATAGTTCCTACCCTAGTTATTAATACTGTTAATATAGAGGAGCAGTATCTTAAACTTATTTATTTTATAGGTATAATTAAGAAGAATAATATTAGGATTCTTCTAGAATATTTAAACACTTTCTGGGTGTATAAAGTATAGGTACTTAACTTAGTTTACTTTATCTAGCTTATATTTATAGTAGTAATAAGCATCCGGGTTATTATTACTATATTCCTTAAGCACTTTAAGTATAGCCTAAGTTAAAGTAAGCCTTTTAAGCTTTATTTTCTTTTACTTCTATTTCTTATTATATAGGTCCTGTATTATTATATTCTTACCCTTAGCTAGAAGGTTATTAAAGATAGCACCTACAGGCGTGCCTCTGTTAAGCTAATTATATATAGTTCGGATAGTATTCTTATTAAAATCTCGGTGCGTAATAGGAGTTCTATTCTTAGGATTATACAGCTTATAATTATAAGTATAGACCTTAACCTTAAAAAACTAATTACCTTATAGTAAATCTTTTAAGAGGGCCCCTTTAAATAGGCAATTAGTCTTCTTTATACGGGTGCGGCGCTTTCTATTAGCTGGCTTATACTCTTCTGCGCACTTGCATTAAACCAGCACCTTATGCACCTAGGGGGGCATACGCTTATCTATTTTTTTATTATATTTAACTATAGCGTATTCTTCCTACTTAGCCTAAGTATTAATTAACTTTATACTATCCTCTATAGAAGCGTGGCGGCCCTAAAGGGGCGGCCGGAGGGGTATAGTATTAAGGTAATAATATAGAGGAAGTAGTGTTAATATATTAAAAGTAAGTGCGCAGGTAATATAAATTCGAATTAAGCACAAACGGGTAAGCGGGTAAGTTTAATTAGTGGAACAATATTTATACGGGCCGGAGCTAGGCCTAATATAGGGGGGGTAACACGCAGAGAAGAGGGGGGTAATACGCAAAGAAAGGGGGGGTAATAACTAAAGTGCTCTAACCCTTATTACCGTGTTTAATATTTAGGCTAATAATAACTTAAACGCTAGAATTAGAATTAAAAAGATAATCTTTAGCTAGCCGGCCTAACCTCTTCCTCTTCTGCGAATATGCGACTTTAATAATAACCCTAGGGTATTATGCCTCTTTATACTAGAAAGAAGCATCCGGTTTATATTTTAACTCTATGCTAGTTAAAGGCCTATCTACTAGAAAGTAAATCTTAGTAGAACGGGCTGCGCAAACCTTCTGCGCGAAGCAGGCCGCCCTGTCTAACCCACTGCGAATCGCTTTTTAGCTGGCTACGGATTGCATCCTTAACTCCGTTAATAAAGAGCTTATGTACTCCGGTCGGCATACAAATAATAAGCTGATAACTTTCTCTACTGTAATTATATCTGCCCGATCTCTGTTATTAGCCGCCGTATCTATTATTCCTTAACAACACGCACTGTATCTTGTCTTTTATATATCCTAACAGCGGCTCGTCTCGGCTAAGCTGACGCTCTATCTTATCGTACTCTCCTTGTGCAAGCTGAAATTCTATCTACAGGCGTTGCTTAATGTGCTTTCCGGCTTGGATGTCTTTGAAAAGTGCGATAACTTGGTGGGCCTGCGCGAAGGGCTTCTCGTCGGTCGGCGGAGGCGTTAAAGGGTGGGCTGCGAAACTTGAAGAACAGCGTGATATGTTGATGCTGTGTTAAAGGAGTCTGCGACGTAACGTAGGTGATGGGGTTATTGCGGTGGAGGTAGTTATTAAGGCTAAGTTCGATGTAGGTTAGTGCCGCGAACACCAAAAATTTGTATAACACCAGCATTTGCATACACAATCACGCAGAATAACACTAAAAGAAGGAATATTCACAGTTTTTAAAGCTCTACGTTTGTATGGAACTTCCGTATATAGCGAATAATTTAGTGGAGTAGTTATACGTTCTCGCTCTCCGTGCTGCCATCGCTCTCTACTGCGTCCTTATTACTACTGCTATTACCCTTTGCTTGCTTAGCGGCCTTAGCAGCTCGTGCAGCAGCATCTAGCTCTCTAACTCGCTGCCTAGCAGTAGCTAACTGCTGCTCCGCATACTTAAGTGCACCTAATTGCTGCTGCGCAAGCTGCTGCGCAGCGTGTTCCGCTTCCTTAGCTTATAGGGCATTAGCAACTGCCTCTGTAGTTTGCTTTATATATGCTATTTCATCTGCTGCTATATAGGCCCTCTCTGCCTGCTTAGCAGCTTTGCCTAATTCACCTAATGCATATTTAGCAGCGGCCTGTAATTTTTGTGCAGTCTTAGCAATAGCTCGAGCGTTCTTCCTTAGCTGTAGCTAAACGGCTTCTTTATCCTTTGCAAGCTGCTTAATAGCGCTAGCAGCTTTCTTAGCAGCTTTCTTAGCAGCTGCAGTATCTATTATTGCCTGCTTTACTGCCTCTAAAGCAAGAACTGTATTAGTTGTAAAAACTACTTCTATAGAAATTTTCACCTGTTTTTTAAGCTTTCTTACCCTCCGCTTGCTTATATAGTAGCGTAAATCCGTGTTTTCTTAATATAGCAGCTTAACCTTATCCTCTAGCAACTATAGATACTTAAATATCTTATTATATATTACTATAGCTTGCTTAGGCGTTAAGCTGGCCCGGATAATTATTAATATAGTTTAGTTTTAGTTGTGGCAAGTAGTAGGCGTATATAGATTGTTCGGAGAGAAGAGAATAGTAAGCTGTATAGCTAGAGGTGTGCTTAGTTAAGATTTGCAACTGCAGTAAGCAATTACGCATTGCGGATTATAAGGGCAAATACCTGCAGCTTTAAACAACTTCTTTATTAGCTTAGGCGTGTAGATATTAAGGCGTATTTAGCCTAATATTTTAAGGAAATATTCGCAATTTAGGCCTGTAATCCCTAAGCCGGCAAACTTATTAACTTTTGCTAAGTATAGTTGCTTAAGTACCGAGAATATAACTAGGTTAAGCGGCTGTATAAGGTGTATTAAATAAGGCGGTAGGTAGATTAGAACTATTTTATACTGCTAGT